TTTGAGCCATGTCATTCAAGGTCTCTAACCATCGATTATTATCATCTCGCGGACCCCAACCAGGTAGTCGACAATTACCGATATGGCTAAGTCCACTCGTCAATGACTTCATAGATTTCTGCCATGTTTTGGTCTGGCCGCCCCTAGCATTCTTCCAACCTATTCCTACACCACAAAACATAGTTCGTCGAGGCAGTCGGTGGTTAGGCATGAGTAACACATGTCCCAACCACGTCAACTGATGTAGTTTCAATACTTCGTCTATTGATCTGCCATCCTTACCTAAAACTCGTTTCCTAACGACAGCATTGCATATATGGTTGTCCCACGATACACGAATAATGCTTCGGAGACACCGATGATCGAAGACTAGTAACCTCTACTCTTAACGGCTATGTTTCGCATCCATATAGGAGAACGGAGGGAAGTGCTGAACAGTAGACTCGTTCTTTGGTTAGCAAGCGGATATCTCGACTGCGCCATATGTGACGCAGGTTGGCAAAAGCCAATCGAGCTTTCTGTATTCGTGCTGAGATTTCGTCAGTCACCAGTCCATCAGCACTGATGAGACTCCCCAGATAAGTGAAGCGGTCTACACACTCGACTGCTTCACTCTTTATCAGTAGTTCAGGTGCCGATGCAACCCAATCTTGAAGCAACATTTTGCATTTCGAGAGTGAGAACCGCATCCCGAACATGCTTGCATTGTTGCTTATGGTAGTCAGAAGACTGCATTTTGTCAGCGTCTTCACCAAGTAGGACTATGTCATCGGCATATTCTAGGTCAATAAGCGGTCCTCCTGGTCGAAGGTCCTCCCCTGAAAAATCTGACGAGGATAATGTAAACTCTAAAAGGATGTCTACGACAAAGTTAAACAAGAATGGAGAGAGCGGACAGTCCTGACGGACACCTCTTGAAGTAGAGAATTCAGATGTCAGTTCGTCATACGCTCTCACTCGCCCAGTGGTGTTCGAGTATAGAGCTTGTATAAGGTTAATTTACTTCTTTGGTATACCTTTCAATGACAGACTGCCACAGTATCTCACGATCAACAGAGTCGAACGCCGCCTTAAGGTTCAGGAAGATCAATTACATTGTCTCCTGACTGTTTTTCTTGTTGTTCCTGAAATATATTCTTAGCTCTGCTATCATTAGGTAGAACCCTAAGTGGTTTTCCTGCGGTGTCTTTCGTACGTCCGGTATGTCGCAAACAAATACACGCTCACACTAGAGTTTGATATGAATCTAGACATGTGCCCCAGAACGAGCGACAGTCCTCTATCGAACCTCTCCATCGGTGGCTGATGGCCATGTGATCTAGTTGGGTCCAACGCTGAGACAACTTCGGAGTTCGCCAGGTCAAAAGGTGCTTTATCTTATGCCTAAAGTTAGTGTTTGCTAAGAATAGGCGGTTATCTGAGCATATTTGTAACAGACGGTCGCCATTGTCTGTTCTCTGAGCCGCGACACCATAACATCCACCTAGATGTCTTTCATTTTCACTTAGTCTACCTACCTGAGCATTAAAGTCACCAGCCATTATTACTATATCAGAGTGCCTAGCTTTTTGGAGGAGGTCCGAAAGCTTTCTGTGGAACTCTATCTTTCTCCTTCTGAATTTCTCTCACTGAATTATACCTTTCGAATCATATTTTTGCTCCCTAATCTTCTGCATTAGTGCTAATAATTATACTATCGCTATCACTCTTGTATTTGAATTACGAGTTGAGAGAACACAAAAAAACAATGCACCTTTCCCATAGCAAACGGTTTTGGGCCATGTCATCAAGGGTCACTAATCACCGATTACTATTATCTCGCGGGCCTCAACCAAGTAGTTGACACCTACCAACATGGCTTAGTCCACTTGTCCGTGACTTTATGGAATTGTGCCAATTTTTGGTCTGGCCGCCCCTAGCTTTCTTCCAACGTATCCCTAAATCGCGAAACATACCTCGACGAGGCAGTCGATGGTTAGGCATACGTTACGCATGTTCCAAACACCTGTTTATGCTTGTGTTCGAAATGTTGTTACTTGAACTTTTCTCATAATCAGTCAGTCAGTCAGATGCAGCGTAGAACTTTGTACGTAAGTACATCAGTTCATGTTGCCATACCACATCAGCACAGAGATATTATTGTCAATTCAAATCCAATAGTAGAAGAGGTAGTAAAGGTATTAGAAGTAATCGGAGAGGTTAGGATTAGAAGATATTATTCAAGAAGTATGATTCAATGAGAAAATTTTAGAAAGTCAAAACTAGAGTTGTTGAAGAACCCAGAAGATTAGGATTTGAGAAAACACAAAGAATAAATGCACCGGCGCCATTGCGAACGATTTTGAGCCATGTCATTCAAGGTCTCTAACCATCGATTATTATCATCTCGCGGACCCCAACCAGGTAGTCGACAATTACCGATATGGCTAAGTCCACTCGTCAATGACTTCATAGATTTCTGCCATGTTTTGGTCTGGCCGCCCCTAGCATTCTTCCAACCTATTCCTACACTGCAAAACAAAGCTCGACGAGGCAGTCGGTGGTTAGGCATACGCAACACGTGTCCCAACCACCTCAACTGATGAAGTTTCACCACTTCATCTATTGATCTGCGATTCTTACCTAGTACCCGTTTCCTAATAACAGTGTTGCTCACTCGGTTGTCCCACGATGTACGAGCAATGCTTCGGAGACACCTATGATCGAAAACCAATAACCGACGAGTATCTTCTACTCTCATTGGCCATGTTTCACAGCCATAAAGTAAGACGGAGCGAACCACTGCGCAGTACACTCGTCCTTTAGTCAGCAAACGGATATCTCGCCTACGCCATAAGTGACGCAGGTTGGCAAAAGCCAATCGAGCCTTCTGTATCCGTGCCGAGATTTCGTCAGTCACCAGGCCATCAGCACTGATGAGACTCCCAAGATAAGTGAAGCAGTCTACACGTTCGACCACTTCACTACATATCATTAGTTCAGGTGCCGATGCAACCCAATCTTGAAGCAACATTTTGCATTTCGAGAGTGAGAACCGCATCCCGAACATGCTTGCATTGTTGCTTATGGTAGTCAGAAGACTGCATTTTGTCAGCGTCTTCACCAAGTAGGACTATGTCATCGGCATATTCTAAGTCAATAACTGAGCCACCTGGTAAAAGGTCTACTCCTGAAAATTCAGACGAAGATAAGGTTATTTCTAGGAGCATGTCTATGATAAAATTAAACAAGAATGGAGAAAGTGGACATCCTTGACGGACACCACTTGAAGTAAAGAATTTCCGTGACAGTTCGCCATAAGCTCTCACTCGACCAGTGGTGTTCGAGTATAGAGCTTGTATAAGGTTAATTTACTTCTTTGGTACACCTTTCATTGACAGACTACCACAGAACCTCACGATCCACTGAGTCGAATGCCTCCTTAAGGTCCAGGAAGACGACTATTGTCGGACATCTGTGTGTCTGTTCCAGGACCTGTCGTAGGGTAAAGATGTGGTCTATACAACCACGTCCGGGTCGAAAACCAGGCTGGTTTTCTCGAGTCTGCTCTTCACGATTTTTCGTTAAGCGTCGAAGTATTAATGAGGCTAATATTTTAGAAACTATATTAGTCAGACTGATTCCCCTGTGATTGTCACAAGAGGACTTTTGTCCTTTCTTATAGATTGGGACACTCAGTGATTGAGACCAGTCGGATGGGATTACGTCCAGTTCCCAGATTCTACATAAGATCTCAGTCAACCTAGCTGCTAAAACTGGACCACCATCCTTAAATATCTCAGTGGTCAGTCTATCAGGACCTGCAGCTCGCCCTCGCTTCAGATTTCCTAACGCTTTCTCAACGTCATTAAGACTAGGGGGACTTACGTCGATTTGCCATTCAGGATGCCTGGAGATCGTGGGTAACCGAAGAGTGGCTCGAGGCCAGTTGAAGTGATCCCTAAAGTGTTCTGCCCATCGATCCAGTCTCCTGGATTGAGAATGGATAATAATCCCATCCTTTTCCGAGATAGTCTCACTCACATTCGGGTTCTTAATACCAGTTTCTTTAATAAGGCGGAAAACTTGTCTAGTGTTGCCTATCGCCGCTGCCTTTTCCATCACTTTTGCTTTCACCACCCACCACTGTGTGGGTGTAGGAAAGATTTGATTTCGACCAATTCGGTGTCATGTGCTGTTATGGGTATGAGGGCGGTTGTCACTTCCCGGCTGCCCACACCGTGGAAGGTTGTTTCTTGAAGGACCTGAATAGGAAGATAGATTAGTTTTGGTCTTAGAGACCTGGGTGCGTGACCGCAGAGTCCAAGGGACAACTGCTTGAGGCCGGTCACGCACGGCCTTTGTATGAAAGGATTTTTGAGTATTAGCTCCGCTCTTAAAAGCCCTTAGTGGGCACCCTTGCCGCCGGAGGCGGAAATCCATGAGGTAGGGTGAAGTGTGACATTTTTAGGGCCGACCTTTTCTAACCCTTCCTTCCTTGTGAGAAGGCAGCATTGCTGCAGATGATGGTTATCCGAGGGAAACATCTTACTGCTGTCACACCCCTCTGCAGTCAGCAGTACGAATTCGCCCTCAGACCTTGAGTAGCTGCTTTCAGTCTCATCGTTATCCAATCGACCTGCCTTGCATGGTAGGACTTGCAGGAACATATGTTCCAGCCAGTATAGCTCGGTTGGGTCATCACGATAGGCAAGTCCAACCACCACGTCAAGGTAGCAGCTACGGTCGGGTTTCTCATAGTTCTGGAGAAAGTGTACGTCCATAGCTCTGGGTCCTGCTAAGTTTCATGTTCCACTAATTTCCAAATCAATTGATCTCTTATTTTCATGATCACTGGTTTACGTTGTGTTTGAAAATGACTATCATTCTCATTGTTCTATATCTACTCTAACCATTAAAAATGTCGTATCTTCTATGTTTGTTTTGATGTTTCTGAATCTTTCATGCTCTTCATCACTCAATCGATGTGAATTTCTATCTGGTTATCTATTTGGTTCTAGTCAGTGCTTTGTTGGTTGCATTACACCCTCTGATGATCCCAGTTTCTACTTGAAATGCCTCAACTTTGTATATGATGCTTATAATGATTTACCTGAACCGAAACCCCGTTTACTAGTCAATACAATGGGCTGGATGCAAGGTATGTTCTTAGTCGCTGTTAATCAAAAACTCCTGCTTTCGTGTTTATCGCGATACTCATGTCTTTGTCGATTGCTCTCCGAAATGCTTTATTCAAAGGCATCAGTAATCTAGGAGTTTTTAATCTCATATCAACCGGTTGTGAACCATGAATACTGTTAATAATCTAAAATACGAATATGTTGGCTTCATTTTTATTAGGTAAACTTGTTTTTTTCGTGACTGAACTATCATCATCCAATCCGACCGTTTATTCAATGAATTCGTTTGATATAAGTCACACCTTATATCAATATTTAAAACAGGTTATTGTCATTACCAAGAAGACCAAATATGTCACATAAATATGTACCAAAAAGTGGATAAGTAAATAAACTAAATAAATCCTATTTGGTATCTTATATATATATGTATATATATATATATATATATATATATATATATATATATCACTATCCAAAATACAGATTTCTACATAGATTATGTTCTGATGATCCCTATATATCACTAAAAGTTAAACTGTTTTATCCGGGAATTTATTCTGTCACCATAAAATTCAGTTTATATCAAGTCGGTGTGGTAATTTGACACTTGGGTACGTAATAGCTACCACCGACATTCAAGGTTACATTTCCGGTCTTAGTTCAAGACACACTGCAACCTTGTCATTAGCCAGTAAATTTACTGAATTTTAATATACGTCATTCGGTAGATTATCTGGTTGGGGCCAAACAGTAATTGTGATTGGGGGTTGCAGAATTTAAGCGACACGCTTCAAATGCGATCACAGTAGTACAAATGGACCCTTTCATTGTTCATTCCTAAGTCCCGAGTCTCAGTATTATTTCATATTTTCTATCCACAAGCCTATTCGGTACCGGACTACATTTTTTATTCCTGACCTTTCGTTGCCATCGCTAATTCCACTATTACTTTCACCACCTGTGTATTCGTGTTAGTAACTCCGCCTTTTTGTGCTAACGTGATGTAATACATCGGAACAATTAATATTTGTACCCAGTTCCACGAGCTTATGACCACCGACTAACTGACAACAACCTGGAAGCTCCTCAAGTAAATTAATCATCACAAATTATTTTCACACGATAAACAATAATGTTAGTTTGATTATTCAATACATTTGTTGGTCTGTGTTGTCTTCAATTCACTTACCGAACTAACTACTGGGCATTAGCTTGTGATCATACTCTATAGATTTTGTAACGCATTTTACATAAAATTTGAAAAGTGCAGACACAAACATCCCAGCGGTGCATGCAAAAATTCCTTTTGATTAACAGAATTCTTCATAAGTAGTCCTGTTTGAGTTACAGTTATCAGCTTTCAACAACGAATTAAAATATGTTCCATAAATACGAACACCACAAAAAATAGCCCAACCACCGACTGTCTCGACGAGCTATATTTTGTAGTGTAGGGGGAGGCTGCAGGAAAGCTAGGATCGGCCAGACCAAAACATGTCACAAATCCATAATGCTACTGACAAGTAGACTGAGCCATGTTGGTAGGGTTAGGTTATTTGAGTGGTGTCCGTGAGATGATAGTAACAGGTGGTTAGGGACCCTGAATTACATGGCTTAAAATCGTTTGCAATGACTCAGGTGCATCCATCGGTACTTGAACTACTGATAAAGAGTGAAGCAGTCGAGTGTGTAGACCGCTTCACTTATCTGGGGAGTCTCATCAGTGCTGATGGACTGGTGACTGACGAAATCTCAGCACGAATACAGAAAGCTCGATTGGCTTTTGCCAACCTGCGTCACATATGGCGCAGTCGAGATATCCGCTTGCTAACCAAAGAACGAGTCTACTGTTCAGCACTTCCCTCCGTTCTCCTATATGGATGCGAAACATAGCCGTTAAGAGTAGAGGTTACTAGTCTTCGATCATCGGTGTCTCCGAAGCATTATTCGTGTATCGTGGGACAACCATATATGCAATGCTGTCGTTAGGAAACGAGTTTTAGGTAAGGATGGCAGATCAATAGACGAAGTATTGAAACTACATCAGTTGACGTGGTTGGGACATGTGTTACTCATGCCTAACCACCGACTGCCTCGACGAACTATGTTTTGTGGTGTAGGAATAGGTTGGAAGAAGGCTAGGGGCGGCCAAACAAAACATGGCAGAAATGCATGAAGTCACTGACAAGTGGACTGAGTCATGTTGGTTGATGTAGGCTACTTGGTTGGGGTCCGCGAGACGAAAGTCACCGGTGGTTAGAGATCTTGAATGGCATGGTTCGAAATCGTCTGCAATGATGCAGGTGCATTTACTCTTTGTGTTCTCTCAAATCCTAATCTTCTGGATTCGTCAACACTTGTACCTTTGTCTTTCTGAACTTACCTCACTGAAATATATTTCTTGAATAATATCTTCAAACCCTAGTCTTCTTCATTACCATTAATACCTCTACTATCTTTATCACTATGGGTTTGATTTGACTTTTGCGTCTCTGTTCTAATGTGGTATGGCAACTTGAACTTATGTACATACGTACGATGTTCTACGTTGCAACTGACTGACTCTTCGAACCCTAATCTTCTCCATTACCGTTAATCCTATAACTACATCTACTATTATGGGATTTCAACTGATCGTTACGTCGTCGTGGTAACATGGTATGTTAACTGGAACTAATGTATGTATGTAAGAAGTTCTGCGTTGTAGCTGACTGGCTGATAAACATTAATAATAGCGTAACGAAATGTCAAAAATATTCACCTCAATATACTTACTTATTCTAATTTTACAAAGGATTCATATACATTACAGTATATATGATTAATTCTGCAATATGTAGAACACACTAATCTTATTGATAACTCTGAGATCAGTAAAATATTGATAAATTCAAATAATAATAATAATAATAATACTAAAGATGATTTGAAGATGGGAACATTTGTGTGGAACCTATACTACAAAAAGGAAAAGTGTCAGATAGCACGGGATCTAGGTTTTGGGTCTCCTGACGACCACCTTCAACCATCACTTTACTTAATGGAAAAGCTGAACTGGCCATCAGCTTTTGAAATGTCACTAAGGCGTGAAAAAGCCTCATAGTATTCAGATCTGTCAATCCATCGCAACTTCATTGCTGGGATCGGAGAAATGGTACAATCGAGTGATTTGAAGAGTTGTATACTATGGCTCAAAATAAAATTAATATTGGCTGGCTATGCTGTAACCTTTTCTATATTCTTAAAATATGCAAGTGACTCCTGATTGGAAGAGCTGTTTTTCAGTTGGATTGTTATCTGAGTTTTATATCCTATCACGTACTATCCTTTTCGACTGTACCGCCTTCCTATCATTTATTGTCTTAACGATGTCATCTTTTTAATCGTGTAGCGTATATATATCTTGGTCTCCAGTTGTACCAAATTTATTATATTGAATCAATAAAATTTATGTAAAGTGTGAGCTGTAAAATAACAGTTTTTTTAGTTGTTATATACATAATGTATTCTTATTGTATTTGCAGGCCTTGGGTTAACGTTACTGTTGGAGCAAATACTGCTAGTTAAACCGGATCTAATCATTCAGCTTCGTCTCAGTGGTTCTTCAAATAATCGCACAAACCCTCCAGATCTAAGTAGTGATTCATTAAAATCTATGGACACTTGGAATTCACGGGTAAGTGGGATACAAACTTCGTATTTTGAGTTTTCGACTACATTCAGGCTCAGTTTACCAAATGATTTTTCATTTCTGGTCCATGATAGCTGTCTTAACCTTATTCAATCACACCTGTCCCATCAAAACACCTGAAATCAACTCTGAAATATTTGTATCTTGTGGCTAATGTAATCTCTTATGGGATTCATAATTTGCGGGACAACTACCAAATATGTCTATCAGCTTTTCAACGTAATTATCAATGAAGTGGGTTTTTATGCACTTGTTTGTCAACAAGTTCTCTTAGCTCCATTTTATTAATAACATGTATAGATTCCAAATACTATAATTTTTAGATTCAGTTTCTCATATATATATATATATATATATATATATATATATATATATATATATATATATATATAGAGAGAGAGAGAGAGAGAGAGAGAGAGAATATCTGAGCAGAGAAAACAGTTACATTGTAGTCAAATAGTGACTATGCAACTCAGCATTTGCATGTGATTATCAAAATATGCTCATTATATTAGAGTTAATGTGATATATTCACATACCAGCCTTTGATAAATAGAGTAGACCTCAAAACCATGACCAACAAGTTAGCTCTGAAGTTCCTACAAATTGATGAAACACAAATTTTTCTTCGCCAACAAAATATCAGTACAGTAAACTGCATTACCTCTTAATAACCCTCTCCCCTCCATGAGCAAACCTCAAATCCCTTTATCACCTAGAGCCGATGATACAAACGATTTGAGTACGCAAAACTCTTTAAACTACATGTTGGAGCTTTCGATGATTGGATCTTCTACCAATTAAAACATCAGGCTTACTTAGTTAGTACTCTGCAATTTCGTACCATCAAGGCATACTGTGTCTCCGAAATGCGTATACAGGTTCCGAATAGTGTCACTCATTTGAACTCACGCTGTCAAAATAACGAATCACCTCGATTCACGCTTCGTGTATCTGGAAGTCCAACTTCTGCTTTCTGTGGCCTTGCTGATGTAGGTATAGCATAAAGTCCTGAGGCAGAACTAGCTCTTGTAGACTGGATCCCAGTAGATAGTCACCTGTGCGCTGCGCGACTAAACGGGACAATAAAGACTCGGACAGATAGGGACACGCCGTTGCCTCTTCTTCGTCTGCCCTCGCTCCCTGTGACTGCAGCTCAGATGAGTTCCACAGGAAGCTTTCCAACCTCCTCCAAAACGTGGAGCGCTCTCATGTAGTAATAATGGCTGGTGACTTTAATGCTCATGTAGGTAGACTAAGCGAAACTAAAAGACACCTGAGTGGATCTGATGGTGCCGTAATTGAAAGAACAGATAATGGCGACCGTCTGTTGCAGCTATGCTCAGACAACCTCCGATTTCTTGCAAATACTAACTTTAAGCAGAAGGAAAAACATCTTTTGACCTGGCGGTTCCCAAAGTTGTCCCAACAACGGACACAACCAGACCATAATCGCTATCAACCAACAATGGAGATGCTCGATTGAAGACTGTCGTGCACATGTTTAAATTCAGATCACGCTCTGGTGCGAGTGCATGTATGTCTGCGATTTACTGGACCTAAGAAAGATAGCAAATAGACCTCTTAGGGTTATAATTAATGATAGCGAAGTCAAGAACATGATGATGAGCGAAGTTGGCTTAAGTGCGTGCTGATAAAAAGCCGACGCAGTGATCGCGAACAGCGGTGGGTAGCGAAAACTAGAGAGATAGAAAAGGCAGTGGCTGTAAGCAACAGTAGACACCAGTTCAGACTTATTAAGGAAACTGGTACTAGGATTACATCTGATAGCAAGACTATCCGTTAAAAGGATGGCCAGGAGATCGGATCGATGAGCAAAATACTTGGGGGTTCAGTTCAACTGACCTTCAACCACACTTCGCTTACCCACGATCTTCAGTCAACCTGTATGGAAAGTTGATGTAAGTGCTCCGACTCTCAATGAAGTCGAAAAGGTTATAGAAAAATCTGAAGCGAGGGAGAGCAGCAGGACCTGATAGATTGACGCCTGAGATTTTTAAGGATGGTGGCCTAGTTTTAACAGTTAGATTGACTGAGATCTTAGGTAAAATCTATTAACTGGACGTAATCATATCCAACTGGTCTCAATCACTGATTGTCCCAGTCAATAAGGAAGGTTGACAGTCCTCTTGTGATAGTCTTGCAGGAATCAGTTTAACTAATATTGTGTCCAAAATAGAGATTGTGAAAAGCAGACTTGAGAAAACCAGACTGAACGTGGCTGTATAGACTAGATATTCACACTACGTCAGAACCAAGAACACAGACACACGTCCATACCTCCCAAAATAGTAGTATTTTTCGACCTTACGGCTTCATTTGACTCTATCGATCATGAGACTATATAGCAGTGTTTATCACTGAAAAGATTACCAGAGAAGTACATTGACCTGATACAAGCTCTTTACTCGAACACTACTGGTCGAATGAGAGCCCATAGCGAACTGTCATCGGAGCCGATTACTTCAAGTGGTGTTCGTTAATATTGTTCACTATCCCCATTCTTATTCAACTTTTTCGTAGGCATTCTTTTAGAGACGACGCTTTCATCCTCTGAATTTTCAGGAGTTGAACTTTTACCGAGAGATTCACTTGTCGACTTGGAATATGCCGATGGTATAGTTCTATTTGGTGAAGACAGTGATGAGATTTTGAGCCTTCTGACCACCATAAGCAACCATGCAAGCATGTTCGGAATGCGATTTTCCCCGTTGAAATGCGAAATGTTGCTTCAGGTTCGGTTTGCATCGGAACCTGGTCTCGCGATAGGGACTGAAGTAACTGAGCGTGTTGATCGCTTCACTTATCTTGGAAGTCTCATTAGTGCTGATAGCTTGGTGTCTTACGAATTCTCAGCATGGATACAGAAATGGCTTTTGCCAACTTGCTTCATTTATGGATTAGGCGAGATATCCAGCTAACAACCAAAGGATGGTTTTTCTGTGCAGCAGTTTGCTCCGTCCTACTGTATGGTTGTGAAACATGGCCCGTAAAAGTTTAGGATATTCGTAGGTTATTGGTATTCGATTATAGACGTCTTCGAAGCATTGCTCGTATATCCTGGGACCATCATGTAAGTAATGCTGGTGTTCCAAAAAAGGTACTAGTTAGGGATAGTCAATCAATTGTTCAAGTAGTGAATGTTCATCAGTTGGGGTAGTTGGAACATACGTTACGTATGCTTAACCACCGACTACTCTGACGAACTATGTTTTGTTATGTAGGGGGAGGCTACAAGAAAGCTAGGGGCGGTCAGACCAAAACGTGGCACAAATCCATAATGCTACTGATACGTAGACTAAACCATGTTGGTAGGGTTAGATTACCTGGTTGGGATCCGTGACATGATAGTAACAGGTGGTTAGGGACCTTGAATTACATGGCTTAAAATCGTTTGCAGTGATTCAGATCCATCCACTCTTTGTTTTTTCTCAAGGTGTAATCTATCTTTCTCTTTTTAGATTTGTTTCACTGTATTATACTTCTTGAATAATATCTTCGAACCCTAATCTTCTCCATTACCGTTAATACTTCCAATATATTTACCACTATGCGATTGCCTCTCTATGTTAATGTGGTATGCTAACTAGAACTTATGTACGTACATTGCAGCTGACTGACTGACTTTTAGGATGTTGCTAAGTGTATTAGTCAATAACTGTGTCTGTAGTTTTCGATTACATTTGATGAAAGTTTCTTAGGCTCTAATTGGTAATGTTCGTGGGCTGTATTTTTAATTAAACTGCATCTTTATCTGTCCATTTTAATAATGTTTGATCTTGCTTTTCTTCATAAAGTTATCGTTATACTTGTTTAACTCCTTTTTAGTGGCTTATTTTATCGGGATTTATATCTGTAGATAAGTAGATAAAATTCAAATTCTTTGTTCAGTCTAATAAATCATTCTATTTGTTGCGCCGCTTGATATTCTATCTTCTTTGTGATGTAGCATCTTATGATATGACATTTCAAGTTACTGCTGACGGCTAAATTACTTTAATATTAACTTAATTCGTATTCGTTACAGTGTCTAGGTGATTAACTTGGCCATACATCCCCTGTTATTTATATATGTACTTATGTATTTTCTTCTTCTTCTTTCTACAGGACATTTCCAACGAAATATTTCATCATGATGTAATTCTTATAGAATCTAACATCAAATCGTATGTTATATTTATTAATGATTGATTGTTATCTAATTTTATATGTTTATGTATAAAACTCAGGTTAAACATTAATAAATCTTCCTGAATGCAGCAGTGTTTGATGATTAAGTATCAATAGATGATATTTTTGTGACTAAATTTACATTGAGACTAATTCCTTTTCATATATGCTCAGTGATACATCCTATTATTTTGTATTTCAACAACATTTTATGCTTTTATTTCGTTGTTAAACTTTGCGTAATTTGTTGGTTTTTAAAAAATTGAACATTCTCACTTTTTTACATCAGCAGTATTACTGTTCATAATACTCCAATTGGATTAAATTAATGTATTTGTAACGAATTGTTTTAAAAAACATTTTTTTTGCAAAAATAATCCAAACAGTACGCGTTAAGTTGCAAGTCATCAGTGTAAGTCTTGTAAGTCATATAAGTGTACTGAGATAATTAGTTTTTGGTCTTCAATAACGCCAAATAATTATCTTAGTCGTCATGTCAAATGATTCTTAGATCACAAAAGTTTTGTGCTTTTTGAAAGTAACTAATATTGGTATGAAAATATATACTTCTTAGCGGAGACGGATAGCGGCTGGCAGCGGGATTCAGGACGCGCGTTTTGTCCTGTTGGAGACTCGTTAGCTGGATATGCCTGCATTTCAGAGTTGACGTCCACTCCGGAACTTGAACCCAGTACCTAACACTCCAAACGCCATTGCTTTATCCACTTGGCTATTGAGTCTAAAGGGTCACTTGCTTGTGCATTGAGATGAAGATCAATTCATTTGCATTGATTATTTGAGTCTTCCAATTGATGTTTAGGACTGAAATTGATCAGTCTTTTTGACATAAGTTACCTAGTTCTAGTCATTTATGTTGTGTATGGACTAGGATACTGCTCGGATGACCAAACCGGAACAGGTGGTTTTCTTAGGGGACTACAGTCCGAGCCTTTGACCTGCTGGTCTAATCAACAAGACAGTGAAGCAACTTTGGAGAGGTGCAGTCTCATAGTAGCTGGTGACCAACAATGGTTTCATACTCTACTTGGTCCCTCAGGATTCTAAAGCCCATGTGTACCATTGGTTTGGAATCAGGGTTTTCCAATTCCCCTAAGTAAGTGCTCAGTACCCGTCTTCCCGGTTTAAGCACCGGACATTCGCTTTTCGTCCTCTTTCGTATGCAATACCTCCATCACAAGAATGCATGGGGTAGTACTTTCCTTTTAGTGACTGTACGAGCGTATTTCGAGAGAGAGAGAGAGAGCGGACTCTTCCCACTCAGTCGCGCCATGGCATTTGGGGGCGATTAGTTATCAGTTTATTTAACTTGTTACCATCAGGTTATGTAGTTGTAAGAAGTTATTGCACAAATTTGTATGCTTTTTAATGCAAATAGACCACGTAAACTTTGTTTTATTGTTAGTGAGTGAATGTGTTTAATACTTATAGTGAGAACGTTACTTTATGCGTATATCAATCTAGTTAAGCTTGATCGAAAAAAAAACTAACAAATGCTCGTTAGAAGATAAATATATTCATTCAGCTTCTTGATGGAAACACTTATCGCTTTTAGTTTTATTTTAATCTACATCCAACTATAGCTGAAGTTAGATTGTGTCGATCTGAATGCCCATTATATGCAAATCCATAAATCTGTTTTATTATGCATGATATGAATATAAATTGCTTATTTATTGCTGTTGTTTAAAATTAATGAATACTTATATTTTTTTATACGTTTATGTATATATTTATAGATTTTGCGTGTACCATATTATTAGATTAGCATATATTTAATAATAATTGTTATTAGTTTTATTTAACACTGTTGATAAATCCTTTGCATGGTTTGTTATACAACAACAAGATTATAATACTTTTCAGTGTCAAGATATGAATTACGAAGAAAAAATCTTCTTCTTAACTACACGCCACAGTAATGTGATGATAAAATAGGTAATATATATTTACCAATGAAAAATAAGGTTTACATTTTCGATTTGGTAAGATATACATCTTTTTAAGGTTATATCACCCGTTTAACATCTATCAGTAATGTAATTATTTTTTTTAAACCAACAGTTATCTCATAATTTAAAACAAAATTTTAGTAATAGTCCTTTTCAGTTCTCCCTCGTAGTGTAAGATCTCACTTTGATATAACCTTGCGCTTACAATAAGTTTTTGTCAATGAAACACTGGTTCACTATTGTTATTATAACAGTAGTGTCTATGCCCATACATGGAAAATTTGAGTTTTGACTGTTCCCAACTTTCATTTTCTGTGCATATTTTTTAGGTACATCGATAATACAATAAATGACCCACGTTATAGTCTTGGTCCTCCTGATCATCGTGATCTAATGATGCTGACTTATTTTATATCCACTTTGGCTTGTGCATACACTAGCTTACCTTCTAGACTCAATGATGAACCTCTTGGACATCCAGTAGCACATTTGCTTGATTGCATCCCTTATCAAGTTCCAGTTACTGTTCAATCTGAACAAGATATATGTGAAAACATAATAAATGAACAAAAAAAAGTCAGTAGCTCTGTTTCTATGTCTGATGTTCATCATGATACACCAAAAACTAATCCTTCAAGTACTAATAAGAAAAATGATTCTGTTAAGTTGGCCTTTCGGGTTATGAGACCGAATTCTAGTCTATTCGCTGAAGATTCTGCTTTTCCGTCGAGTGTCGATAACTTATTATCCTGTTTAAATGCTACTTTAGTTGCCCTTTGTGTTGTACCACAAGAAAATGTAAGTTGTACATGAATGAATTCATCCGTAATATATAATACTATACATTTATGCTTCAACTGGCAATGGCTTTTTGCTTTTCAGTAGCTTCTCTTTTCCTCTCGTTTATTTGTAAGTGTAAATTTTATTCCCCATACTATCTTTATCATTTTCTTGTGTAAATTAGTGAGGCGCCAAACTTACTACATCTGATAATTTATCCCCATCGTTATGATGAAATTTAATAAATTCTACTGTTCAGTTGACCTATTCGATCATGCAACGAAAAAAAACGTCAAGAACAACTTATCCTTGATGGCCACTTATTCAAGATCGATCGCCTAGTGAAAAAACTTTCGTGAGCTATTCGAGGGAATATACTGTACTTTAAAATCATAATTTGTGAAAATTTGTCTTTGATTTCTTTGTAATGACAATCAAAGTCAATTTGATAACGAAGAAACCAGTTTCTTCTTTGTGTTGTTACTATTTAACATAATTAATAAAGATGTAGTAATTTGCCGTATTTTAAATTAACAATCTACCTTGCGTAGATAAGTCCGCATTATAAATCACTATTGGTCAAATGTTTAAATCATTCATTTAAAACTGTAAAGCCTGGTGGGAAAAAATAACTTGATTATATTATACTTCCCATTTTAACATAAATTGAAAATGAATTACTGGGTATTGTATTGGTTGATGTCTTACACTTTCTCATCTGACAGATTCGATCTGAGAATCCTTATTAGTTGTTGGCTATTCAAGTGAATTATGATATCTAACAAAAATCATATTTTGAAAAATTAGGTTTATGATCCCATTATTCTACTACTATTACTGCTTTTGCTACTATGTGATTTAACGCAACAATTTCATCTCTCTGTGTTGATGAGGTTGAGCTACAGCAACTTGAACTGATGTACGTGCGTACTAGATTCTACGTTACATTTTATTGACTATTGGTAATGGCTATTCACTTATTTTAAATCGTCATCTAGGTGCACTTTCGTTTGGCTTCATAATTCTGTGATTCAACATTTTACTTTATTTTGTAGATAAAGGAACCAGATTCTTCTTGTATGTATCGTTGGATATCATCGAATCCTGTTTGTCAGTGTGTAGGTTTAGGTAAGTAATTTCCTTGAGCATATGTCGAAGTTTACTTTTTGAAATGAATGTGATGCTGAAAGGCAAATCTACTTATTCTATGTTAGTTTTCATGATAAATAATATCAAATATTCTAATAACAGTTTCTTCTAGAATATCTTAGTGTTTCAATAATTAAAATCAGTTCAGTGGTATGTCTTCCTAAAAATCTGTTCTTCTTACGTTCTGTTAGTTCTATATGCAAGAATGGAATCCATTTAGTCATTTTCAGGAACACATTTTCAATATTGGTAGGTGATTGGATATAATTTACAGGATGTAACTGATGTAGGTTTCATGCTACTTAACACTTGTCAGCATGGTGTGTCTGTCATCTGGACGGAATTAATGTTCCATGAGGTATTCACTGCGTCACTTAACTTGACTGTGTAAAACTTTACCACTGAGCTATTCGGGTTACAATTGACTTATAGGTCTAAAATATTTACTTTTGATCACTGAGCAGTAATCGTCGTCACGTTTGTCGAATTATCAAGATACCAAGCATACATTGCTGACAAGTCCCAGCTAACACGAAACTTAAGTGCAGTGTTTTTTGTTTACTTCCTACAATCACGACTTAGTTCACACTATGTCGAGTCACTTGGAATAATGATCACATTGTAATCTGATCGGTTTCATTTGATCAGCTCTACCTTACCAGACAAATATGATGTAAATCAATAAATCGAACACTTTCGAAGCGTATGTGACATGTTTACTGATGATCTAATTATTGCTTCATAGTCATTTTTTACTAACATTCGTTAGTAAATAAAGCTTATTATGTATCATACATCATGCAAATTTATGCTTGTAAGTAACTTTTAATGAACTACCAGTTCATTTTCAGTATCATATTAGAAAATCAGGAATATCCAAGTGTCTGTAACCTTTATAAATAATACTTACTTAATGAACTTTGATTTGTATGTTTTATGTCATTTGATAATAATTTTCAAAGATACTACGAATAAACGTGCTTCTAGGCGGAGACTATCCTGGAATGTTTAGGATAATTATGACATTATATCTCGACTCTTTTGCTTATGGTTTTTGTCCTCATCTTACAACATAGTCAATTCTGCTTTCTATGCACTCGTAAGTGGAACGTCTATACTGTGCTCTCAACACTTGCTTTTCATTAAAAATGTTTTGAAACATACATCTTTAAATTTAATTTAAGATAGTAGCTTACTAAACGTGGATTTAGTCGGTTGTAAAATTAAATGCCTTGTTATTTTTTTCTTTCAGCTGAACCCCCTTTTTATTTATTTATCTTGAATTGGTTAGCTCTACTATTACAATGAATTTGACTGACAAATTATTATGTACAACAATGTATTCAGTTTTCCATTGGTTTGAGTGTGAGGTTAAATCCCTATAGTTAAGTTATGATTAGTTCGATTCATCCAACAGATTAAAGTAAATCTAACTGTGGTTATATAAGCATCTGAATTGCTTGTCAATAAATTTACTGTCAATTGTTTTAGCACCATAATGATCTGTACTAGTGTTTGAAAAATCTAATGCTGTTTATTTTCTCATTTGTTACAAAACATTTGTAGCAATTTGTCGCGCTGTTGATCCTGCCGCAGGTGTGATTTATTTAACGACTGGTGTTCCAGAAGATGATTTGTTAAAGGTGACAGGAATTCTTCGTGGTAATGTCAACTTACCCAACTGTTTTTTCCTAGACCAGGTATGAATGTACATGTAATTCACACCTCATAATTTCCGTTTTTAATAAAATTTATTCTTATGATTGTGAAACGTATTCAGTTACTCGCAACAAAGTGTAACGAGAAATAGAAAACTTATAGATTGTTGTTTTACAAACCTGGTAACCAGTCTATAAAAACATGCTGTTCTTTCTTCTCTCAAGGAATGTCCAATTTTTGCAACATGACATGATCCCCAAGAAATTAGTCTGGCCAAATATTCACATATGTTTTTCATGGAAAGTTTGTTAGGACCGTATGACCGGTTAACCCTTAACTGTTAATCAATATAACTTTTCAAGTGCAAAACACCGATCAGAATTACGTCAGCATCACAAACTGTGACTCAGCTCTGAATCCTTTTTGATCCCCCAATGCAATAGCTTCTCTCTACGCCGCCTATTAGTCCAGAAGTCCGTGGCCAGCCTCTGCAAAATTTCCCTTATAATTCAAGCAAACATACCCGACTATATCACACCATACAGTGCAAAAATACATTCATACATGAGTAAGCCAAAAGTGGCTTTGAATAGAAGAAACTTAGTAGTAAAACTGGCAATAGATTAGGAACAATAAATTATACAACAGTAGTTGATTTGTTAATCAGAGGTTCACATTAAGAGGAATATATATATATATATATATATATATATACATACTCAATTGTCATACATTGAGGTGGTACACAGTAACAATCCATAACTTGCCCATATGTTACCATTCCTCTAATCTTCCCGATATAGCAGTAGCACCAACCAGCCTTTCTATCCAATTTTTTATTGGCGATACCGCTATTTTTTTGCATAGGCTTATACTAGATTGCAAAACTATTTATCAAAATACATAACTGTGATCAAGAAGCACTACGTGAAAACAATATTTTCATCCTAACTACAGTACTTGTTTGAAATTCTGTATAATATATCATGTACCATGTCCTTTTATTCGGAAATGAAATTCAATTCTTTTGGTTCAGCTGTGTACAGCTTAGGCGATAGGTCGTATATGGCATTAACTGATAGGCTATCAGTATTATTTGCTAAATAAGCTGAAATGCTATCTGTCAGCATTATTTCTTTGTGTTTTTAAATCTTTAATGTTTTATTCTTGTCGCTGTCCTTCATAACGCTACTATTGTAAAAATTACGTTGTTGTATGTTTTATTTTTAGCCTTTCTTTCGGACCAATAAAGAAACTCCCTCCTTCCTTCCCTATATGGGTCCAGTCAGTACACAGGGCAAAGGGCGTGCAGGTTTGCCATCCAGGCGTTCTTACCCGAAAACTATGCATCACACCACTCATCGCATGGGCACTTCAGATATCATGGACTAAACTTTCATCTATACACTTGAATCAATGCTTAGATCCTTCTTTATACAACGATTTGACGCGGGCCCTTTCACCCAAATGGCTTATGTCTTTTGTTTCTTTCGATTTGACTATTTTTTTAAGACCGAATACAATTCCACTTATACTTATGTATCGCTTCACTTGTAAAGAGTTACTCAACTGTCTTAACATGCTACCCATCATGGGCTAAATGCTACTGGTCAGTAATCTCCAGCCAGCTCTATCCTGGATCCTCATCTCAGGTTGTTTCACAGTCTTCATGTCTTCGTTCAATTCTTAGGGACTTGTGTTATTGGGTCTTTCTCTTTTCCTTTGTTTCGTGGATTCCGAGTTAGAACTTCAGTTGTGATACGGTTTAATGATTTCCGTGAAGTGTGTCTCCTGTCCACTTTCATCATGTTTCCATAATCTCCTCCCTAGCAGGTTTGTTCTCCACTTCAGTTCTTTATTGCCGCTTCCTTGTCCATGGGTCTTGAGTGTCTTGCGTTGATAGCTGTTTATGAATACCTATGTGTTTTTGGTGTCGGTGCTGATAGTTCTCTGGATTTCAGTTCCATACATTAGGACTGTTTCAACAGTTGTGTTGAAAATTCTTACTTAGGTATAGGGGGCAGTTGTTTTGGGTCTCAGGTATTATCCAAATGTAGGAATGTTGGTATTGTTCAACCGATTCGGACCATGATATCTGCATGTAATCCTCCTAGTTTATCAGTAGTAGTATTGAGAAGACTGAGGCACGCGCGATAAATTGTATTTAGCAAATTTACACTCTTAGTCAATTAAAAACGAAAACATTACATTGAACACTCTACTTGCACACCATCTTTGAGTCCTGACTTCCAACGCTCCAGCCTTCTTCCATTCCTGCTGTGGCTTCCTTTATTTCCTGTCGGTACTCTATTTATTTCTTGCTTTTGCTCCATTTGCTTTCCGTTTTCCTCTTCTGACCGTGAGACTTCTTCTTTCACGCCCTATTCTTATACTACTTATATCGTTCGTATAAGTAGCACACACCACAGTATTGCTCATTTACATAAAGGCCTCCAACTCTCTGGGATTTTCGCTGTCAAGTTTGATTTGCTCGATGCTCGCTTTGTCGCACTTCAGAATCTTGCTTTTTCCACTGTGAGTGTTGAGACCCATTACTACAGAGGATGTTGCTATACTGACTGTATTCGTTAAAACCTGTTGCTAGATATGTAGTAGAAGCGTTAAGTCAGCTACAAATTCCAAATCATCTGTAAGTTCCTAAGATGTCCTCTATATTCAATGCTTAGTGATACAGAGAGATGACTATCTTCTTTGAAATTTCACACAATATTCTCATGCCCACTCTGCAATGCCTTTTTATATATAAGGAAGCTGATGTACGATGACGAGATCCATTCAAACGGTAGCTCAACAATGGTTCTTAGTGTCGGTCGATATGTGATCTATCCTTGAGAAATCCAGGTGGTTGATATCGAATTCCACAGTCTACCTTTTCAGGTATAAATATCAGTAAGCTTAAAATGTCAGTCTTACCTTAATTGTACAAGACGAAGAGTTTACATACTTAACGACACTGACATTTTTCTCAGCAGAAAAAATCAAGAAATGTGGATGAAATAAGTAACAATATCAGTAAAGTAGACAAGTAAATGATCAAGTTTACTGGTACTGTTTTTAATGCTATTACAAGCCTATCAGCTGATCCCTGACCACATAACTTTGGCTTTTATAATCCCAAATGTACCACTATATAACAAGAATCTTAAGTATTATTATTACAGATCAAAATGTAACGAAGCATTTAATTTCACAATAAGAGTATTGCTTTGTTTACTTAACGCATGTTGATTATTGGTCTGTGTCTAAAATGTAACCTTGGCTTACTGGCAATCTTTCCAGATACATTCCGTGCTTACCATGCTGAATTTTGTGTATCTGGAAAACAGAATAATAAAGAGCCATAAACAATACTAGAATTATATGAATTAAGCTTGGAACTTTCTGTTTCTGGGTTCGCAATGACTGTCCAATATGATTTTAGTCAGAGGATGGTCAGAAAAATATCAGGGTTAGGCACGTTAATATGTGTGAGTGAAACAAAGATTTAATTAAAGCATGACTATGTTGCTGTGCGCCGATTTATATGGCTCCCAAAAAGCAGGCGGTTCGTAAGAGTAGGGGTGGCAAGGCACTAAGAATGCAGTTGAACTCTAGCACCAGATCCTACGAATCTTCTTAAAGGGGAGGTGTTAATAAAACAGATGGAATTAAAGCACAACTACGTCGCTGCGCGCTGATTGGCTAATTTCCTATCCAATCAGCGCCTGATCGATTCTTGGAGAACAGGGTAGAAAATTCTCGTGTTGCTAGGTGCGCGCCGATTGGCTCAATCTAGTCCGGTCGATCACGTGATCGATAGTTCATTCTGGTTAACCGTATACGCCTGCTAACTCTATTGTTGTATCACTCGGTGAATTCATGATCCTTTCTTCCACAGCATTTTCCAGCGTCTTTACTAAGTCTTCCGTTTACTCCCTCTAATGATCCTCTTCGAATACTTGCTTGCCTCTGTTCGATCTGTGCCTTGAATTCTTCTGATCGTGTTCGGCTGTTAATTATTGCTGTCTTCTTGTCCCTCGTTCCTCGAATCTTTTCCAGTTTATCAAGAGTTATCCATTCCTTGTGATGGTGATTATTGTGACCGAAAAGCTTATGAAATGCTGAAGTTCTTGCTTCTCTGGTCCATTTCCCGTAGTACTCTATGGTAGTTTCCTCTTCACTGAATAAATGATGAAAGCCTTGAAACTTATCGTACAAAACTATCTTGAATTCGTTTGGTTTGCCAGTATCTATAAAAAAGGCCACATTAAACTACTGAGATGCTGTTGTCCAGTGCTACTTTGGTTTCGGTTACACCTCGGCCATCATCGGATTGTGATCTGAAGCTATGTCAGCCCCCTCTCCTAGTTCACACGTCCTCCATGATTCTTCTGAACTTCGTGTTGATGCAGATGCAATCAGTTTAGTCCTCCATAGTGCGGGCTTTGTGTATTCAATTTGAGCGGTTCCGCCTGTAACCACTTTGTTCAAGGTGATTGAACTCACCCTCTCCGCTAGTCAATGTCTTCCTACCCAGCGTTGTCCATCCCGACTTTGAAGTCGATATCTCCCATCCGTATAGTCAAATCCTTTGCCGGACATTCCTATAAGTTTTATTGACGTTCGTAGTTTTCGTTGATGGACTCGTGGCATTTTATTACATTCATTGCAATTCCCTTGTTTGTTTGAGACGATGGTTCTGTGTCCTTGAGATTCGTACGCAACAAGTGCTTTTTGAGCCTCTTTAGGCAAGAGGAGTGAAACCCCTTGTGTATGAAAGACCTTTACTTCTTCATGGTCGGCGTACAACAGCATCTCTGCTGATGCGGTTCTTTTTGTCCAAGCCTCGACCAAGCACCACCTGGTTGTGTCTTTTGATTTCTGCAAGTATTAGAATATTTTTCCCATCTTTTCACACTGTGCGGGAATTCCAGGCAGTTATTCGAATTGTTACCTCAATATTTTTAAGAATAAACGACCCCGTGACTTTCAAAGGAACTCTGCCTTTACCATGAGGTGTCATAACTCTTTTGAATAAAGACCTTCCAACTCACAGGGCAGTTTAAATGATTTGAATTATTTGTTTTGGTTAGCGTTTTTTGGCTGGAAAATGCTGCGGAAGAAAGGATCATGAATTCACCGAGTGATACAACAATAGAGTTAGCAGGCGTATACGGTTAACCAGAATGAACTATCGATCACGTGATCGACCGGACTAGATTGAGCCAATCGGCGCGCACCTAGCAACACGAGAATTTTCTACCCTGTTCTCCAAGAATCGATCAGGCGCTGATTGGATAGGAAATTAGCCAATCAGCGCGCAGCGACGTAGTTGTGCTTTAATTCCATCTGTTTTATTAACACCTCCCCTTTAAGAAGATTCGTAGGATCTGGTGCTAGAGTTCAACTGCATTCTTAGTGCCTTGCCACCCCTACTCTTACGAACCGCCTGCTTTTTGGGAGCCATATAAATCGGCGCACAGCAACATAGTCATGCTTTAATTAAATCTTTGTTTCACTCACACATATTAACGTGCCTAACCCTGATATTTTTCTGACCATCCTCTGACTAAAATCATATTGGACAGTCATTGCGAACCCAGAAACAGAAAGTTCCAAGCTTAATTCATATAATTCTAGTATTGTTTATGGCTCTTTATTATTCTGTTTTCCAGATACACAAAATTCAGCATGGTAAGCACGGAATGTATCTGGAAAGATTGCCAGTAAGCCAAGGTTACATTTTAGACACAGACCAATAATCAACATGCGTTAAGTAAACAAAGCAATACTCTTATTGTGAAATTAAATGCTTCGTTACATTTTGATCTGTAATAATAATACTTAAGATTCTTGTTATATAGTGGTACATTTGGGATTATAAAAGCCAAAGTTATGTGGTCAGGGATCAGCTGATAGGCTTGTAATAGCATTAAAAACAGTACCAGTAAACTTGATCATTTACTTGTCTACTTTACTGATATTGTTACTTATTTCATCCACATTTCTTGATTTTTTCTGCTGAGAAAAATGTCAGTGTCGTTAAGTATGTAAACTCTTCGTCTTGTACAATTAAGGTAAGACTGACATTTTAAGCTTACTGATATTTATACTTGAAAAGGTTGTTTATATCGGGAGAACAAAACTCTTTCTAGTTCGTACTATTATTTTACAACTCCTTAACAGGTTTACTAGTTTTCAGTAAATAAACAAATACCAGGAGTCTATTTTCAGACATATACTTGAATCTCAGATTTCATAAAAATCATGGACGGATTATTACTTGATTACCATTAGAATCCTGGAAGCACTGGACTTCTGTTTCGTCCTAGTACAGAATTCACAAGACGATCTGCATACAATGAACTCATCAAGTTCATACATTAAAGTTTAAAAATCTGTTAACTGACTAACTGAGGTAATGGATGAGTAATGTTCCGAAATTCCTCAGCTTTAGCTGGTTGGAAGCTCACAGACATTTAGGATTTGACAACTCCCTCGTCCGTAACATATTTATAATCGAGAATTACAAGCTCGGTAGAAGATGCGAAGGAGTGTGAAGATTTATTTGGAAGACAATCTATAGCAATTGCCCTTAAATAGTTTAGATAGATTACCAAGTCTACACACAACTCCGAGATCAACAAGCCTAATTTAGTAAGGACCAACCATATACTAACCAAGACGTAAAACTATGAATTCGCTCTAACACAACTTCTTCGGTTATGAAAAAACATTTAGTAGCACGAACAAAGAAGGTGGAATTGGGGAGCATTCAATGCTTTAGAGTACTATAGAAAATCATTATCTAACGGAAATGCCCCCTGTTGGTTGGTTGCCAAGTCTTGTGTGGTAGGTAATTCACAGGTTCGTTCCAAACAAAAAGGAAATGACAGAAGACGACCTATTCCCACCTTTACTCTTTGGCTTGTTGACTACAATGTGGAGACCTCCACATCTCAGAAGAAACAGAGGATACAGTTTGCGATTTGTATGCAGGTGAATGCTAAAGAAGCTGGGTTAAAAATACTGTCGTCGCGAACAAAAATGAGGTGGGGAACAGCCAGGCCAGAAACAACATTCGCCAAAGTGGGCCCAAACAACATTAAAGTAAGTATTTAAGGCACTACCCACTGAATCTATAATCTGAATGAGATTTATTACTTCTTATTTGACAGCCTATGCTACAGCAGTTTAAGATCTCGCTAGAAGAGACAGATTGTGATGACATCTCCTGTAAGTTGGATGAACTGAATGTGAATGACATTATTAAGACGATACCAACACATCGGATTCTAACAAATCGATAAGAAAAATATATAAATTAGCCCGAGGTGGTTTTCATATCATCTTTCCTTTTGTCGAAAATTTTTTTGACATCCTACTTCTAATGGCATATTTATTACTATTGTTATGTATAACAGAATCAATGATTACAAAGAGAAATCTGGAAGACTGCTTTTAATGACCTCTCGGTCCTTATATCGAATTCAACATACTAGGTGCTGGACAGCAGGAAGTAAGAATATCAATAATGGATCGTTGCAGAGTGTGAAAAAGACTCAAGGTAGGAAAAGCAGGGAGACAGTAGTCAAAAACAACAGAACTAAACTGGATAAAGACAAGAGATATCTGGAGTATGTAGAATCGAACAAATTAGTGGGAAGGAACACTAAAGCTGATAAACGGTTATGTATACTAGACCTCACAAGTGAAGGAAAACAGATGCAAGAGAAGAGAATACGAAAGAAATCTATGATACAACTGAGAAGCCAGTAGGAAAATATGGTTGACCTCATCTTACTCTCGTCAACCTAATCTTTCAGTATCCAATAAATCTTGTTATCACTCGCGAATTGTTAGTAACCGATGTTCCCGAAATCTTCACTCGTTGCATCGTTTGGTTATATATACTATCATTTTTGCTAGCTCATACCTCAGATGATCAAACAAGTGTTTGTTTGTAGTAATCAATTAACTTGACGAAAAATCATTTGGTTTTCGATCACTGTTCAAGGCGGCTTTTTAATCTTCGTAAATGTCTTGTTGCTTTGTACAAGCAGTATATGCAGATGGCCAAACTTTTGAAACTACCAACAGAACGGAGAAATTTATAACAGATCACATAATCGAAGCAGAAATCGGGAGGTGAGCATTGCTTTGTCGTGGAAATATATCTTTGTTTCTTATAGAGGGAGGTTCGGTAAAGTATCGTTAGTTAGACATCGTGACAGTGGAGAGGTATCTGCAGCCAAAATAATAAGGAGATGGCGTTATGGTAAAGATACAATCGCAAGCATATTGCGGGAGATTGATATGGTGAAAATTGGTCAACGGAATTGCCATATTGTTAAAATGAAGCACTATTATGTTGGAGAGAAAGAAGTTGTACTACTGCTAGAGAAGTGAGTTCAGTGGGACTCTCTTAAGTGACGATTCTTTTATACTAATATTTCTTGAGAATAAGTCTGGAATAAAGTTGCGTTTGTCCCTTAACACTCTGGAATTCTTATCCGCTTGGGTGGATAAAACGGGTTTTTGTTTTTTCATTCAGTGGCACTCTTAGTTAAGTTGATTCTAAAGGATCAGATATGTAAGAAGTGTCCTCATTTTTTCGGTTACTGAACGTTACTCTTACAATATTCGTCGGACTTCTTGTTAACATTTGTCCCACTTCCATGTATGCAGTAATTTTTGGAGTTTACACGAGATTTTTCTGTGCCCATATAGTATGCATCCCACGTGTGTGACAGTATATTTTGCAAATCCTTCATAGTCAATTTAAACCACTCGTCTCTGAATCTATGATGCCTCTTGTTTGAAAATCAGTGTATAGTCGTTTTTATAGATTCTGCACAACCGATGGTTAGTTGTCAGCGGTCAGTACGCTCAACTACTTCACTCCCTATCACTGGTTCAGGTACCGATGCAACCCAATCTTGAAGCAACATTTTCCATTTTGAGGGTGAGAACCGCAACCCGAACATGCTTGCATTGTTGCTCAGGGTTGTCAGAAGACTTCATTTTTTCAGCGTCTTCACCAAGTAGGACTATGTCATCGGCATATTCTAAGTCAATAAACGAGCCTCCTGGAAGAATGTCTGCTCCTGAAAATGCAGGCGAAGGTAATGTTATGTCTGGGAGCATCTCTATGAAAAAATTGAACAATAATGAGGAGAGTGGACATCACTGACGGATACCACTTGAAGTAAAGAATTCCGGTGACAGTTCGCCATAAGCTCTCACTCGACCAGTGGTGTTCGAGTATAGAGCTTGTATAAGGTTAATGTACTTCTTTGGTATACCTTTCAATGACAGACTACCACAGAACCTCACGATTCACAGAGTCAATTGCCTCCTTTTGGTCCAGGAAGACGACTATTGTCGGACATCAGTGTCTGTGTTCCAGGACCTGCCGTAGGGTAAAGATGTGGTCTACACATCCACGTCCGGGTCTGAAACCAGCCTGGTTTTCTCTATTCTGCTCTTCCCGAGCTATAGTTAGGCGTCTAATGATTATCGAGGCCAACGATTTAGAAACTACATTAGTTAGACTTAAGCCACTGTGATTTTCACAAGAGGACTTTTGTCCTTTCTTCTAGATTGGGACAATCAGTGATTGAGACCAGCCATATGGGATGACATCCAGTTCCCAGATTCTACCTAAGATTTCAGTCAATCTAGTTGCTAAAACTGGACCACCATCCATAAATATCTCAAGAGTCAATCTATCAAGTCCCGCTGCTCTCCCTCGCACACTGCGTGTAACCTGGGACAACCGCATAAGCGACGCTGTCGTTAGGAAACGAGTTCTAGGTGGGGGATAGTAGTTCAATAGATAAAGTGCTGAAACTTCATCAGTTGAGGTGGTTGGGACATGTGTTACGCATGGCTAACCACCGACTGCCTCGTCAAGCTATGTTTTGTGGTGTAGGAGTAGGTTGGAAGAAAGCTAGGGGCGGCCAAACCAAAACATGGCAGAAAGCCATGAAGTCACTGACAAGTGGACTGAGTCATGTTGGTAGATGTAAGCTGCCTGGTCGGGGTCCGTGAGACGAAAGTCACCGATGGTTAGGGACCTTGAACGACATGTCTCAGAAACGTTTGTAATAGCGCAGGTGCATCCACTCTTTGTGTCCTATGAAATTCTAACCTCCTGCATTCCTCATAATTTCTATCTTTCTCCTTCTAAATTTATCTTACTGAAATATACTTCTGGAATAATATCTTCGCTCCCTAATCTTCTTCATTGCTGCTACTACTTCTAATATTGCTGTCACTCTTGGATTTGAACTGACAGTTGCGTCTCTGTGTTGATGTGGTACAGCAACCTGAACTGATGTACTTACGTACGAAGTTCTGCATTGTATCTGTCTGTCTGTCTGTCCTCGCACACTGGAGATCGTGGTCAACCGAAGTGTGGCTGAAGGCCAGTTTAACTGATCCCCGAAGTGTTCTGTCCATCGATTTAATCTCCTAGATTGAGAATGAATGATACAGCCATCGTTTTCCGAGATATTTTCACTAACATTCGGGTTCCTAATACCGGTTTCCCTGATAAGTCTGAATAGTTGCCTACCGTTGCCTATCGCCGTTGCCTTTTCCATCTCCTATGCTTTCGCTACCCACCATTGTTCTCGATCGTTGCGTAGGCTTTCTATTAGCATGCGCCTGATCTGACTCCGCTCCTCATCATGCTCGTAGCCAGGTGGGATGAGCTTTCGAGCATCCATCAGTGGTGTCGATGCTACTGAAATCCACGGCTTCTCACTAACCTATGGTTTACTTTACTAGAAGATATCACTGCTGTTTCCACAGCCTTTTTGATATCATTCCAACATGCCTCAGGGTGGGCATCACTTACTACATGGCTGCTTAACTGTTTTTTTAGTGGTTCCTGAAATATATTCTTAGCTTTATCATCATTGAGGAGAGTCTTAAGAGGTTACTTTGGGATACTTTTCTTGCATCCAGTAAGGTGCTAACAAATACGCGCTCTCACTAAAGCATGGTCTGAGTCTAAACAAGTGGTACAGAATGAGCGGCATTCTTCAACAGAGCCTCTCCACCGATGGCTGATAGCTTTGTGATCTAGTCGGGTCTATCGTTGGGTCGGCTTTGTGGGTCACCAGGTCAAGAGATGTTTTTCCTTATGTTTAAAGTTAGTGTTTGGTAGAAATAGGCGACTATCTGAGCATAGCTGCAGCAGACGGTCGCCATTATCTGTTCTTTTAGCTGCGACACCATAAGATCCACCCAGGAAACGGCGAGTGTCCCTATCCTTCCGAGTCCGTACCATCCCGTTTAGTCGGACAGCGCATAAGCGGCCATCTATCGGTATCCAGTCTAAGAGAGCTTGTTCTGCCCTAGGACTTAATACTATACCTACGCCGAAGAGGCCACGAGAAGCGGCATCAAGGCTTCCAGGAACACGAGGCGTAAACCTTGTGCATCTATCTGCCCTACGTGAGAATAAATTTACTTTACTCGGATCTTGTATGCGCGTTTCGGAGACGCAACATACATCGATCGCCCGAGAGTTTTAGCTAATGAGGCCTGTTGCCCTATTTGGTATAGGGTTCGAACATTAAAAGCTCCTATATGTAGTTTCGTACGGGGTTTCCAGAGACCAGGAATGATGTTTCGAGAGTTCATACCGTTCGCTTCAGTGATGTGAGATGATAAACGTTCGAAAGACGTGTTTTTCGAGGAGATAAGAGAGTTATTAGGAGGTATAGGAAGGATTTGATTGTGACCGATTCGGTATCGTGTGCTTTTATGGGTATAAGGGCGGATGTTACTTACCGGCTGCCCAGATCGTGGAAGAGTTTTTCTCGAGGAACCTGAAAAAGAATGTAGATTAGCGTTGGTCTTAACGACCTGGGAGCGTGACCGCAGAGCCTAAGGGACAACTGCTTGAGGCCGATCACGCACGACCTTTTTATTCAAGGTTTTCTGAGTATTAGCTGCGCTCTTAAGAGCCCTTAATAGGCAGCCCTTACTATCGTAGACGGAAATCCGTAAGTTAGGGCGAGGTGTGACATTTTTAGGGTCGACCTTTTCTAACTCTTCCTTCCTCGTGAGTAGGCAGCATCGCTGCAGATGCTAGTTGTCCGAGGGAAACACGTTACTGCTGCCACACCTCTATAGTCCGCCGTACCGCGTCGCCTTCAGACCTTGAGTTGCTACTTTTAATCTTACCGTCTTCCGGTCAACTTGACTGGCATGGTAGAATCTTCAGGAACATATGTTCCAACCAATATAGCTTGGTTGGGTCATCACGATAGGCAAGCCCGACCACCACGTCAAGGTAGCAGCTACGGTCGGGTATCTCACAGAATTATAATTCTCGAATCATATCTTTGAACTCTAATCTCCATTGCTGTTACTACTTCTACTGTCGCTACCACTATGGGATTTTCAATTTACCGTTGTGTCTCTGTGCTGTGCGGTATTGCGACCTGATATTATTTACTGTTGTACGAAGCTCTACGTTGTAACTGTTTGATATTGTTCTGAAAAGTAGTTACCGTACTGACCACGCAGTAAGATTGTTTTGCGTTAGTTTAGGTACCTGTAAATAAACAGCGTATGAAATCAGTGATTAGGTAGAAGAACCTGTGGTTAGACTGTTATAGTTCTTTATTAGCATGTCGGTACTTACCACCATAATTAATATCTTGTAAATCACTCAGTCAGTCAGTCAGTTGCAACGTAGAACTTCGTACGTGTGTACATAAGTTCATGTTGCCATACCACATTATTAGCACAGAGACGCAAATGTAAAATCAAATCCCATAGTGATAAAGATGGTAGAGGTATTAATGTTAATAAAGAAGACTAGGGTTTAAGATATTATTCAAAAAATATAATTCAGTGAGATAAGGTTAGAAAGACAAACGTAGAGGTGCTGGCTAATCCAGAAGGTTAGGATTTGAGAGAGCTCAAAGAGTGGATGCACCTGCGCCATTGCAAACGATTTTGAGCCATGTCGTTCAAGGTCTCTAACCATTGATGACTTTCGTCTCGCGGACCCCAACCAGGTAGTCTACATCTACCAACATGACTCAGTCCACTTGTCAGTGACTTCATGGATTTCTGCCATGTTTTGGTCTGGCCGCCTCTAGCTTTCTTCCAACCTACTCCTACACCACAAAACATAGCTTGACGAGGCAGTCGGTGGTTAGCCATACGTAACACATGTCCCAACCACCTCAACTGATGAAGTTTCACCACTTCATCGATTGATCTGCCATCCTTACCTAGTACTCGTTTCCTAACGACAGCATTGCTTACTCGGCTGTCCCACGATATACGAGCAATGCTTCTTAAACATCTATGATCGAATACTAGTAACCTACGAACATCTTCTACTCTTAACGGCCATGTTTCACAGCCATATAATAGAACGGAACGAACTGCTGCGCAGTACACCCGCCCTTTGGTTAGCGAACGGATATCACGCCTACGCCATAAGTGACGCAGGTTGGCAAAAGCCAATCGAGCTTTCTGTATCCGAGCTGAGATTTCGTCAGTCACCAGACCGTCAGCACTGATGAGACTCCCCAGATAAGTGAAGTGATCAACACGCTCGACTACTTCACTCCCTATCACTAGTTCAGGTGCCGATGAAACCCAGTCTTGAAGCAACATTTTGCATTTCGAGGGGGAAAACCGCATCCCGAACATGCTCGCATTGTTGCTTATGGTAGTCAGAAGACTCTGCATTTTGTCAGCGTCTTCACCGAATAGAACTATGTCATCGGCATATTCTAGATCAGTAAGCGACTTTCCTGGTAGAAGGTCAACCCCTGAAAAATCTGACGAGCTTAATGTTAACTCTAAGAGGATGTCTACGACAAAGTTGAACAAGAATGGAGAGAGTGGACAGCCCTGACGAACACCACTTGATGTAGAGAATTCAGATGACAGTTCGCCATATGCTCTCACCCGACCAGTGGTGTTCGAGTAGAGTGCTTGTATAAGGTTAATGTACTTCTTTGGTACACCTTTCAATGACAGACACTGCCACAGAACCTCACGATCCACTGAGTCGAATGCCGCCTTAAGGTCTAGGAACACGACTATTGTCGGACGCCTAAATGTGTGTCTGTGTTCCAGGACCTGTCGTAGTGTGAAGATGTGGTCTATACAACCACGTCCAGGTCGAAAACCAGCCTGGTTTTCTCGAGTCTGCTCTTCGCGAGCTCTAGTTAGACGTCTAAGTATAATCGAGGCTAACAATTTAGAAACTATATTAGTTAAACTTATTCCCCTGTGATTGTCACAAGAGGACTTCTGTCCTTTCTTGTAGATTGGGACAATTAGCGACTGAGACCAGTCAGATGGGATTACGTCCATTTCCCAGATTCTACCTAGGATCTCGGTAAGTCTAACCGTTAAAACTGGACCACCATCCTTAAACATCTCAGGGGTAAGCCTATCGGGACCTGCCGCTCTACCTCCCCTTAGATTTCCTATAGCTTTCTCAACTTCATTTAAACTGGGGGGACTTAAATCGATTTGCCATTCAGGATAACTGGAGATCGTGGGCAACCGAAGAGTGGCTGAAGGCCAGTTGAACTGATCCCTAAAGTGTTCTGCCCATCGGTCCAGCCTCCTAGATTGAGAATGGATAATAAGACCATCCTTTTCTGAGATAGTCTCACTTACATTCGGGTTCCTAATACCGGTTTCTTTGATAAGGCGGAAAAGTTGTCTAGTGTTGCCTATCGCCGCTGCCTTTTCCATCGCTTTTGCTTTCGCCACCCACCACTGTTCACGGTCGTTACGTAGGCCTTTTATAAGTCTGCGCCTAAGTTGAGTACGCTCTTCATCATGTTCAGAGTCAGGTGGGATGCGTTTTCGTGCATCCATCAGTTCGGTGGATGCGACTGAAATTCACGGCTTCATCCTAGCCTTATGGTTTACCTTGCTAGCAGATATCACTGCTGTTTCCACAGCCTTCTTGATATGATTCCAACCTGCTTCAGGATGGGAATCACTCTCATGATCGCTTAACTGTTTTTCTAGTTCCTCTTGAAATATTTTCTTAGCTTGATTATCATCAAGTAAAGCCCTAAGAGGCTTCCTTACGGTGTCTTTCCTACGTCCAGCAAGCCTCAAACAAATACGTGCTCGCACTAGGGCATGATCTGAATCTAAACATGTGCCCCAGAACGAGCGACAGTCCTCTATCGAACCCCTCCATCGGTGGCTGATGGCGATATGATCTAGTTGTGTCCAACTTTGAGACGACTTCGGGGGTCACCACGTCAAAAGATGTTTTTCCTTATGCTTAAAATTAGTGTTTGCTAGAAATAGTTGGTTATCTGAGCACAGTTGCAACAGACGGTCGCCATTGTCTGTTCTTTGAGCCGCGAGACCGTAACATCCACCTAGGTGTCTTTCATTTTCACTTAGTCTACCTACTTGTGCATTGAAGTCACCAGCCATTATAACTATATCAGAGCGCTTAACTTTTTGGAGGAGGTCCGAAAGCTTTCTGTAAAACTCATCTTTTACATCATCTGGGCTGCAGTCAGTGGGGGCGTAGGCTGATATGACGAAGAGGCAACGGCGTGTGTCACTATATAGACAGATCTCAATATTTTCTCATCTAAATGAACACTGATTTTGCTGAACATTCACTCTTTAAAGGCAGTTGTGTAAGAATTTTTGTGAAACTGAGTCAGCATAAACAAAATAACCAAAATTCATCTTGGTATGTCTTATGAATATACCTCTACACTTCTTGGTTTTTAAATTTTCTTACACGACCTAGGGTGAATAGACTTCCCATTCACTTAAAATGCCTTCATACTTTCGTGTGTTTGTAGTCCCAGTCAGTAAAGTACTACTCACTGCCTCCGCGTAGTGAGTCTCCTATAGTAATAAGAACACTATATTTATATCGTTCATTCTTTTTAAATGTATTTATACTTTAACTTTTTATCATTGTCAAACATTGTTGTAACCGTTTTTAGTTGTTCTCATGGAGATCTCTATCATTATGTGCATTACAGTGAAGAGTTAATTCCGGAAAATATCGTTGTTAAAATACTTGCTCAGCTTCTCAAAGCAGTATCTTTTATACATTCAGAATCCATCGTCCATTTGGATATCAAAGTAGGTTCACTTAACAATAACTCGAAGTGATAGTATGTTACAAGATGTTATGTACCTATCAATTATTTCCTCTGCACTACAATCCAAAAAAGCAAATTGAATACGGAGCTTTGTGTATTATTTTAATGTTTATGAAGTAAACAAGGTTTTCCATTGTTAATTGACTGTCTATTGTGTATGCGAGACCTTAAAAACTGCTGAACAAAACATAAAGTACATAGTTTTATTTTAGCTCTCTGAGTAAACTATACATCTGTATACCTTGGTGACTTACGTATAAAACCTAGGTAATTAGGGTAGTTTTTGTAATTGCAAAGATAGACCGTTTGCCAAAATTTAGGCGAAATCCACATTTTTCTAGTTTGTACTTAACTGACAATTATTTATCACTTAACCAGTAAGTAGTTTGATTCTGAATCCAGCCATACCATCGTAATCAGGGGCCAAGAGCAATGAGTTGATTATTGTTAACTGTAATAATTATAACTGCTGTTGGGGAACTTTTAGGCTTGTACTGGTCCTAAAAGTTGACATTTAATGAATTGGCAAAGTGATATAAACATTTAAAGTAGACTGTAATGTTTGTAAAATGATTAGTTTTATATGAGACATGAGAAAATAAAATGCTACGATAATTTTTAGAAAGTTATTTGATGTTAATGTAGTGAATATAGTTCCGAACTGTTTAAAAGTTGCTAATATTTTCATGAGACGAAAAGTAGCAAATACAGAATAAAAATCATTATTGGTAAAACGTTTTGATCTAGAAAATGTTTCCACTAGCTTCAAACCCTGTTAGCTAATATCTCAGTTATTTGGGTACTCAACTTCGAACTCTTAAGTTACTAATTCAAAACATTACTACTAATCGGATTTGGGTAGCTAATGCACTAACTGCTCACTCAAATTTTTTTAAATTTCGGTTACATGTACTTCGAATACTTGTGTTACAAACTCACTTAAACTCTTAACGTTATCCCATTTAGCCTGAAAACATTCTTCTCCGTCATCCTCTCCCTCAATGTGATATCGCGTTGTGTGATTTTGGCCTAGCCAAACATTTGCTGACAAACGAAGTTATCAGAGACCTTGTAGGTACACCAGATTATGCTGGTAAGTGTTTTTGCATGCATTTTATCTGCACAAGTAACTCCTTCTGGGTCATACTTTGTTTATGCCTTTATCTGGAATCCTCATCAATTATTAATGATGGTTGCTACTCATTCCTTTCATTTTGATCAATTTAGCTGGAAAAAGCTGTGTTCGGAGTCATTGTTACTGGAGTCATCAAATATTTTTTTATGTAATAGCGATTTCAATTACCGAGAAAAAAGTCGGTTTATAAGAAGCTGATTCAGCAGCTGGACGTGTCGACTCGATCAAAATTGCATAATTCGAACCTCTGTTGTCTTGTGCATTTCCTGTTTTAGTGACGTCGTGAACGAACATAATATATAGCCCACGCTAAGTTTTTATTTAACTACACTGCCGTTTCGTCTAGTTTTGGGATTTCTGATAGCTTCATTTGAATCAAAAAATCAATTAAAACCGGCTTACGTCAAATTCCTCCCTTACCAACTAAACTAATTTGTTTAAAATTAGTTGATTTGATTAATCGTTAATCAAAGTACCTGGTCTGATACTTTGTCATTTCTTTGTTTTATTCCGCAATTTTACCTTCCAGGACACTTAGTTATGTAGTTAGGATGTGTTGATTGACCAAAAGAAAATGGCAGTTTAACTAACGGCCCTTCGAAGCCTTCGTTTGATAATCTGCAGCTCTGTGTATCAGTTATAAGCTCAGCTATAGCTATTTTAGCAACTTTCTCATTCTACAACTCATATTCATCGTGTCAGAAATGGTTTATGATAGTGTATTCTTTCATTTTTCACATTAGCACAGCGATGCAATTCTTGATTCAAATCCTATAGTGGTAGAGGCAGTAAAAGTATGAGCAGCAATCGGAAAGATTAGGGTTATTATTAACTATTGACCTTGTCAGTCATTCGCTCATATCTTGGTTGCTTTTATTCGTGTATTTGCACACCTACCTCGTTTATTACATGCCTGGCTTACTTTGTCACACTATAAATGCTTATTTGTGCTTCATCGAATGGACTTGGCTCACTCGCCTTCTCTACTTGGCTTTGCTTGTATGCTTTTCATTATCCTGTTTGCATGAACGATTTCCTGAAATAAATTCATCCGAACTAATCCATATTTAGCTTGTTATTACCACTGCTTCACAAACAAAGCTCTCTTGAGTATAATATACGTAAACTGGTGGGGAGATATATTTCATAGCATATTTAGGTGTCCATGAGTACAGTCACTAAAGTAGTGAGCCCTACAATGAATCTAATGTAACCACCAAAATGGATATTAATGAATGATCGAGCCTAAGCTGACTTCGGTCTTCATAATTTTCAGAGGCAGATGGGACGAGTTTACGAGCGTCGATCAGTTCAGTGGATGCTGCTGTGACCCACGGCTTTTTCCTAGGCTTATGGTTTACCTTACTAGAAAATATCACTATTGTTTCCTTAGCTTTTTAGATATCGTTCCAGGCTGCCTTCGGATGGGCATCTGTTGCATCCCAGCCTAACTGTTTTTCTAATTGTTCCTGAAATATATCCTTAGCTTTATCATCATTGAGGAGAGCCCTAAGAGGTTTCCGTGCGATATCTTTCCTACGTCTACTTAGCCTCAAGCATATACGCGCTCGCACTAGAGCATGATCTGAATCTAGACATGTGCCCCAGAACGAGCGACAGTCCTCTATCGAACCTTTTCATCGGTGGCTGATGGCTATGTAATCTAGTCAGGTTTTTACTTATGTTTAAAGTTAGTGTTTGCTAGGAATAGGCGAATATCTGCGCATAGCTGCAGTAGACTATCGCCATTGTCTGACCATTGAGCCACGACAGCATAAGGTCCATCCAGCTGTCTTTCCTTTACACTTAGTCTATCTACTTGAGCAATAAACTCACCAGCCACTATTACTATATATGAGCACTTAACATTTTGAAGAAGGTTTGAAGGGTTTCTGTAAAACTCATCTTTTATCTCGTCTGAACTGCAGTCGGTGGGAGTGTAGGCAGCGACATCGAAGAAGCAATGGCGAGTGTCCCTATCTTTCCGAGTCCTTATTGTCTCGTTAAGTCGGACAGCGCACAAGCGAGTATCTACTGAAATCTAGCCTAGTTCCGCCTTCGGATTTGATTGTGACTAGTTTGGTCCCGTGTGTATGAGGGCGAATGTCACCTCCCTCACCGTGGAAGAGTATTTCTAGAGCGGCCTGTAAAGGAAGTTAGGTTAGCGTTGGTCTTAGCGACTTGGAAGCGTGACCACATCGCTCACGGGACAACTACTTGAGGCCGGTCAGGCAGGACCTTTTTTGGGATGTTTTGGAAGTGTTAGCTTCGCTCCTGTTTAAAAGGCTTTACCACCAGATATGGGAATCCGTGATTTAAGGTGGAGTGTGACATTTCTAACCCTTCCTTCCTTGTGATTAGGCAGCATCACTGCAGATGCTAGTTGTCCGAGGGAAACACGTTACTGCTGCCACACCTCTATAGTCCGCCGTACTACGTCGCCTTCAGACCTTGAGTTGCTACTTTTAATCTTACCGTCTTCCAGTCAACCTGACTGGCATGATAGAATCTTCAGGAACATATGTTCCAGCCAATATAGCTTGGTTGGGTCATCACGATAGGCAAGCCCGACCACCACGTCAAGGTAGCAGCTACGATTGGGATACAAGTTAATTTATTAATGTTTATGCTACTGCTAGATAAGCTAAACTAACTTCAAACTTAATTTATTTTATAAATCAATAACTGTTATCTGACCGGTTGTTTCCTTTCTACAGCTCCTGAAGTTTTGAACTATGATCCCATTCATCTCACAACAGATATTTGGTAAGTATCATTTATATTGTTTGTAGATTGCATTTTGTAATTTTGGGGATTCTAGGTGAAATTACTTTTATAATTGGCTAATGTTCAGGTATATTCAGTCTCCGTCTTTAAATAATGAGTCTGTAGTCGTTCATAACCTGTTAGTTGTCTCCTTATACTGTTTGTTCTCCTTTTACATTATGATTATCTCGTTTGTTTTCTCTCATGATGTTGACGAATATAATATGCTTCGATTTATATTTGAGACACTAAGAAATACTCTACTAAGTATTTAATACCAACATTATTAGATTAACAAAGAAACAAAGTAAAATTAATAAAAACGATATGCGAAAAGAAAGTGAGTTATGCAGAGGTTGCTTTTCGGTAAATTTTGTGTTTAAGAAAAAGAAATAATAATAAAGTCTACTCAGTTGACAAAATGTTCCTGAATTGTAATTCATGTTTCCATTAACATTTATTAATTTTCTGTCCTAACTATTCAGACCACTCCTAGGAGATTCACTTTGGAGCGTGACCGCAAAACCCAAGTGACAACTGTTTCAGGCCGGTCATGCGCGGCCTTTTTATGAGAAGTTTTTAAAGTGTTAGCTCTGCTCTTGTTTAAAACGTCGTACCGTCAGATAGGGAAATCCGTGATTTAAGGTGATGTGTGACACTTTTAGAGTCGACCTTTTCTAACCCCATCCTTCCTTGTGAGAAGGCTGCAGATGCTGGTCGTCCGAGGAAAACACTTCGGAATAATTTTATAACCTGATCTTTCCATGGTGATTTTAGTAAATCTAGTTTTTCAGGGAAGACTGATGATGTAATAATGGTACGACACCCAAGTTCCACTTCATCATCTTATGTTTTAGTAGGCCATTAATATTACTAGCTATCACCATTGCTCAAGGCCGAATACATGGACTGATAGTTAATAAGTGAGTCATGTTAATTTTTTGAATTTTCTTTTTAGGAGCGTTGGTGTTGTTGTTTATTATTTGCTTACTGGTGAAAGCCCATTCTGGGACGAGAGCAAAGAAAAAACGCTTCAGAACGTTTGTCAGTTAAATATCTCTTATCCTGACCACCTATTCCAAGATATTTCTATGGAGGCAAAAGCTTTTATGAAGCGTTTATTTCAAAAGCATCCAAGGTTGGGAAATATTTTATTTTACTCGTATGAAATTCACTTGACGCTAGTTAAGTGCATTAAACTTGTGGTACTTAATCAGTTTCCTTAATTTGAATGACACAACCATTGGCTACCAAAATTATGGTTATTATTCACTCCTAAGTTTATTACAGTGAATCATAATAACTCAAGTGAAGAAGTTTATCAATATATTCCCGACACAATTTAATCTAACAGGCACTGGTGGCTCAGATCAAAAATGTATATCTCATATTATTTATTATCCTCTCATTATTATTATAATAAGTTGATAACTAATAACTAGTAAATATGACTAGTCCCAGTCGTTATTCTTATTTGATTATACATAAATAAGATTTGAGAATTCAAAAAATTACTAACTAGCCATCATCTCCATTAATTTACAGAATATTCCAAAATTACAGAGGGCTGTGGAGAAGCACATCGCTTGATTTCGATTTCTTAAAGAGAGCTAGCCATTCAGCTTCTATAATAGTTTGACACGTCACCGTTAAAGGATATAGTTTCTTATATAATTTATTCCTTTAGGAATATATTATTATACTTATTGATGTAAGATAATGTCAAATGGATAACACAATGTGAAGTTCCTTGTTCGTAATATAAAAATATTATTTTACAGTTCTATCTTCACCATCGTGTAAGAGAACCATAAGATAGTTTTTGCGACAATATATTCATTTTAACCATGTTTTCTTCTTCAGAGATCGCCCATCGGCTATCGATTGCTTCTGTGATCCGTGGCTTAGTTCTAAGACGTTCACTGACACACAAAATACAGATAGCTGTAGTCAAACGGAACCAAGTTCCTTAAAACAGGATTTCAAAAAACAAGATGATCAGAGTCTTTAAGAACGATCTTAACATTAAATTGTGAATTTGTCTTCCTTAAATATGTATAAAATTACTCCAAGAGTTATTCATTTATTTTCTTTATTTATTTAGTGGTAAAATCAATGTAGACATTGTACACATGTATAAAGATGCACAAATATATTACTTAGTTGATTCTTTTTTGGTATGCTTCCTTATTTCTGTTTTGTTTCATTTAACCTATACACTCGCTTATATGGTAAGTGGTGTTTGGTCCTCAACAGAAATAATAAAAAATTTCATAGATACTTCTTTTTTGTACCTGATACTATTTAATTATAAATTGTTTTTCCTTAAATGAAGTATATGTGAGGTTATGGAAATTTTATTTACCGTTAATGTGATTTACGAATGGCCTGTCATAGTCACGTGTTTTCGAACTCAAATTTGGGTCATTTAAGATGTTAAGTCAAATCACATAATCAAGTTATGTAAACTGAATTAAATGAAAAGGACCTAAACATTCAGTCCGATGGATGAGTACACTTAATTTGCTGTTGTCTAGATATAAAGTTCTAGTTGATCCAAACTAGATAACGAAGTGCAAAATGTTGCTTGAAGATTGGCTTGCATTGGCACCTGAAATAGTGATAAAGTATGAATAAGTTGAGCGTGTTGATCACTTCGCTAATCTTGGAAGTCTCATCAACGCCGAGGGCCTGGTGACCGACGAAATCTCAGCACTTATGGCGTAGGCGAGATATCCAGCTAACAACCAAGGGATGGGTTTTCTGTGCAGCTGTTCGCTCAACCCTACTCTATGGCTGTGAAACATGACCGGTAAAAGTTGAGAATATTCGTAGGTTAATGATATTCGATTATAGATGTCTTCGAAGTATTGGTCGTATAACCTGTGACAACGGAGTAAGCAATGTTGTCGTTAGGAAACGAGTACTAGGTAGGGATGGCAGATCAACAAATGAAGTAGTGAAACTTCAATCAGTTGAGTTGGTTGGGTCACGTGTTACGTATACTCATCCATCGACTGCCTCAGAGCGATATTTTGTGATGTAGGAGTGGGTTGAAAGTAAGCTATGGGCGGCTGGACTCAAACCATGGCACAAATCCATGAACTGACCGACAAGTGGGATATCAGTCAGTCTATTAATACGTACATTTTCGTACGTATGTACATCATTTCAGGTTGCCAGAGACTCACTTGTCATTTCAATCCCATAGTAGTGGAGGTAGTAGAAGTATTAGCTGTAATTGGAGAGATTAGGGTTCGAGGATATTATTGAAGGAGTACAATCTAGTAAAATAAACTTAAAAAGAAGAAGGTGATAAGGAATTCAAAAGGTTAGGATTTGAGAAAACACAAAAAATGAACACACCTGTGTCGTTGCAAACGTTTTTGAGCCGTCGGTTACTATAATCTTGCGGACCCATCAATATGACTCAGTACACTTGTCAGTGACTTTACGGATTTGTGCCATGTTTTGTTTGACCGTCCTTAGCTTTCTTCCAACCTACTCCTACACCACAAAACATGGTTCGTCGACGCAGTAGCTCGATGAAAATAGGTAACACATGTCATAACCACCTTAACTGATTAAGTTTCAACACTTTATATATTGGTCTGCTATCCTTACCTGGCACTCGTTTCCTGACTATTGCATTGCTTATTCAGCTGTCCCTGGACATACGAGCAATGCTTAGAAGAAATCTATAATTGGAAACTAATAATCTACGGATGTCCTCTACTATTACTAGTCATGTTGCGCATCCATATAATAGGACAGAGCAAACTGCTGCGCAGTACACTCGTCCTTTGCTTAGCAAACGGATATCTCGCCTACGCCATAAGAGACGCAAGTTGGCAAACGACGATCGAGCCTTTTGTATCCGTGCTGAGATTCCGTCAGTCACCAGGTCATCAGCACTGATGAGACTCCCCAGATAAATGAAGCGGTCTACACGTTCGACTACTTCACTCACCATCCACTATTACTATATCTGAGCGCTTAACTTTTTGAAGAAGGTTTGAAGGGTTTCTGTAAAACTCATCTTCTATCTCGTTTGAACTGCAGTCAGTGGGAGTGTAGGCAGCGACATCGAAGAAGCAATGGTGAGTGTCCCTATCTTTCCGAGTCCTTATTGTCTCTTTCAGTTGGACAGCACACAAGCGACTATCTACTAGAATCCAGTCTAAGAGAGCTAGTTTTGCCTTAGGAATCAATGCTATACCTACGCCAGCGAGACCCTGGAAAGCAGCATCAGGGCTTCCAGATATACTAGGAGTAAATCGGGTTGCTTCTTTATTTAAACATGGTGAAGTCAATTGAATGACGATACTGGGATCCTGTATGCGCGTTTCCGAGACGCAGCATACATACATCTGTAGCATCTCACGATTCATTCATTGTACTTCAGTGATTTGTCATTGAAATTATTTGATAATTGTATCGACTATAATTTTGTATTTGTAATTCGATTCAGTCAGTCAGTTGCAACGTAGAACTTCGTACGTATGTACATAAGTTCATGTTGCCATACCACATTATTAGCACAGAAACGCAAATGTCAAATCAAATCCCATAGTGATAAAGATAGTAGAGGTATTAATGTTAATAAAGAAGACTAGGGTTTAAGATATTATTCAAAAAATATAATTCAGTGAGATAAGGTTAGAAAGACAAACGTAGAGGTGCTGGCTAATCCAGAAGGTTAGGATTTGAGAGAGCTCAAAGAGTGGATGCACCTGCGCCATTGCAAACGATTTTGAGCCATGTCGTTCAAGGTCTCTAACCATTGATGACTTTCGTCTCGCGGACCCCAACCAGGTAGTCTACATCTACCAACATGACTCAGTCCACTTGTCAGAGACTTCATGGATTTCTGCCATGTTTTGGTCTGGCCGCCCCTAGCATTCTTCCAACCTACTCCTACGCCACAAAACATAGCTCGTCGAGGCAGTCGGTGGTTAGGCATACGTAACACATGTCCCAAACACCTCAACTGATGAAGTTTCACCACTTCATCGATTGATCTGCCATCCTTACCTAGTACTCGTTTCCTAACGACAGCATTGCTTACTCGGCTGTCCCACGATATACGAGCAATGCTTCTTAAACATCTATGATCGAATACTAGTAACCTACGAACATCTTCTACTCTTAACGGCCATGTTTCACAGCCATATAATAGAACGGAACGAACTGCTGCGCAGTACACCCGCCCTTTGGTTAGCGAACGGATATCACGCCTACGCCATAAGTGACGCAGGTTGGCAAAAGCCAATCGAGCTTTCTGTATCCGAGCTGAGATTTCGTCAGTCACCAGACCGTCAGCACTGATGAGACTCCCCAGATAAGTGAAGTGTTCTACACGCTCGACTACTTCACTACCTATCACTAGTTCAGGTGCCGAAGCAACCCAGTCTTGAAGCAACATTTTGCATTTCGAGGGGGAAAACCGCATCCCGAACATGCTCGCATTGTTGCTTATGGTAGTCAGAAGACTCTGCATTTTGTCAGCGTCTTCACCGAATAGAACTATGTCATCGGCATATTCTAGATCAGTAAGCGACTTTCCTGGTAGAAGGTCAACCCCTGAAAAATCTGACGAGCTTAATGTTAACTCTAAGAGGATGTCTACGACAAAGTTGAACAAGAATGGAGAGAGTGGACATCCCTGACGGACACCACTTGATGTAGAGAATTCAGATGACAGTTCGCCATATGCTCTCACCCGACCAGTGGTGTTCGAGTAGAGTGCTTGTATAAGGTTAATGTACTTCTTTGGTACACCTTTCAATGACAGACACTGCCACAGAACCTCACGATCCACTGAGTCGAATGCCGCCTTAAGGTCTAGGAACACGACTATTGTCGGACGCCTAAATGTGTGTCTGTGTTCCAGGACCTGTCGTAGTGTGAAGATGTGGTCTATACAACCACGTCCAGGTCGAAAACCAGCCTGGTTTTCTCGAGTCTGCTCTTCGCGAGCTCTAGTTAGACGTCTAAGTATAATCGAGGCTAACAATTTAGAAACTATATTAGTTAAACTTATTCCCCTGTGATTGTCACAAGAGGACTTCTGTCCTTTCTTGTAGATTGGGACAATTAGCGACTGAGACCAGTCAGATGGGATTACGTCCATTTCCCAGATTCTACCTAGGATCTCGGTAAGTCTAACCGTTAAAACTGGACCACCATCCTTAAACATCTCAGGGGTAAGCCTATCGGGACCTGCCGCTCTACCTCCCCTTAGATTTCCTATAGCTTTCTCAACTTCATGTAAACTGGGAGGACTTAAATCGATTTGCCATTCAGGATGACTGGTGGTCGTGGGTAACCGAAGAGTGGCTGAAGGCCAGTTGAACTGATCCCTAAAGTGTTCTGCCCATCGGTCCAGCCTCCTAGATTGAGAATGGATAATAAGACCATCCTTTTCTGAGATAGTCTCACTTACATTCGGGTTCCTAATACCGGTTTCTTTGATAAGGCGGAAAAGTTGTCTAGTGTTGCCTATCGCCGCTGCCTTTTCCATCGCTTTTGCTTTCGCCACCCACCACTGTTCGCGGTCGTTACGTAGGCTTTTTATAAGTCTGCGCCTAAGCTGACTACGCTCTTCATCATGTTCAGAGTCAGGTGGGATGCGTTTTCGTGCATCCATCAGTTCGGTGGATGCGACTGAAATCCACTGCTTCATCCTAGCCTTGTGGTTTACCTTGCTAGCAGATACCATTGCTGTTTCCACAGCCTTCTTGATATGATTCCAACCTGCTTCAGGATGGGAATCACTCTCATGGCCGCCTAACTGTTTTTCTAGTTCCTCCTGAAATATTTTCTTAGCTTGATTATCATCAAGTGAAGCCCTAAGAGGCTTGCTCACGGTGTCTTTCCTACGTCCAGCAAGCCTCAAACAAATACGTGCTCGCACTAGGGCATGATCTGAATCCAAACATGTGCCCCAGAACGAGCGACAGTCCTCTATCGAACCCCTCCATCTGTGGCTGATGGCGATATGATCTAGTTGTGTCCAACTTTGAGACGACTTCGGGGGTCGCCAGGTCAAAAGGTGTTTTTCCTTATGCTTAAAATTAGTGTTTGCTAGAAATAGTTGGTTATCTGAGCACAGTTGCAACATACGGTCGCCATTGTCTGTTCTCTGAGCCGCGAGACCGTAACATCCACCTAGGTGTCTTTCATTTTCACTTAGTCTACCTACTTGTGCATTGAAGTCACCAGCCATTATAACTATATCAGAGCGCTTAACTTTTTGGAGGAGGTCCGAAA